CCCAATTTGTCATTCAAGGCGCTTAAATACACATCAGTTACTGCTGCCTTCTCTCTGCCTCCTCCAGCACAAGTTATTCCTTAATATCCAAGTGATTGATTAGTACAGCAATAAACTGGGGTACAGACGTAAAGCAACTCGAATAAAAGCCGTGTGCTGATCTTTAAAGAAACTCCTTTCTCTTTGGATGAGGTTGCAAAAATAAAAAATTGTAGGGCTTCTACAGAGTTACCAAGACTGCTAACGTAACTAGGAGCATTACTGTTATCAGTATTATAAATCTCTTGAACATAAATGGCATCAGAGCCCATAATCTGTTTCTCCTCTTTTAATATGACTCACAAATTCCCATGTGCAACAAAAGCTTGTTCTTCCCAGCAGTAGCTTCCTGCCTGTCTCCTAACAGGAATCTTCCTCTCCCTATTCCTCTCTGGGTTTGTTTGTTTGTTTGTTTGTTTTGTGATATGTAGTGTGAAACTTCCAAAGTACTTCTGAGCCAAGCTATTGGATGAGATATAGATAATTGAGTTCTCTTTTGTGTTCTAATAAAAAAAATCAGCTTTTCCATACTGACAAGAGATGCAAATTTCTCCTTAGCACATGGTAGGGTGCCTTGTGCTGTTTCCTTTGTCATTTCAGGTAGGTTTGGGAACTGGCTAGCAGCAAGTAAAGATTGTGAAATAGTTGGGTTTTTTTTTGACAGCTCTAAATAAATAGGAAATATCACAAATAAGTCTATCCCCTACATAGCTTAGAGAAATTGTTGCAATTTTAAGTTCAGCTTTGTAAAGTAAATGCAGTAATCATATGACAAAGTTGGTATGAACCTGGAATAAATATTTTTTGGGTTTAAGAATAGGTCTCCTTACTTGCACAAGGAATATCCAGCTACATCATTGGGCAAAAACGCAGGGCTCTTCTGCATGTGCTCCTATAATTCAAGCTTTAAGGAGAGGGGAAAAAAAAGCTGACAAATGTTAAGTGTTCCTTTTAAGTGGAATGACTGTGTTTTGGGTATAAGGTGAGTTCATCAAGATGCCAGGAAAATACTGCCGTTTCCCTTTTTCTAGATTGCCTTTTCTCTGCTCCCTCTTATATTTTTAACTGCTTTATTTTTTGCCAGAGGGGTTTGTATCTCGTGCCAGTTTGCTCTGTTCTCTGCTTTCTCTGTCCCTTGCGAAAAAGAATGCTGTATCACACCCTAAGGTGTGGGCTTACCCCCTTGTTCCATAGGGCTGAAACAGACTTCTTTCCTTTTGCAGTTGCTTTGGATGTGAAGGAACTTGCCTGGGCGTGCAAGTTATCTCTCATGGAATTGCTCAGTGAATGAAGTTACATTCTTTAAAATGCACAGCATGTCATAGTGGAACTGCAGTAGAGTGTAAAAGCAAACTCCAAGTCTCAGATTTTAATGTTTTATTTTTCCCCCCCCGTTTGATAAGATTGTGAGATATTTTGTTCTGCTTCCTGATCAAACTATGGAGTTTGAAGTGATGGCTTAATTTTTCTGTTTCATCTTCAGTATTGTTGAATTTGTTCTGGGAAGATGTTAGAGCTCTTCTGAGTTCTAGTTGGTGTGGTGTGATACTTTTCTGAGCACCAAAGTACATCTATTGGGATTAAACTTTAAATACTACATTGATGTAAGCTGGCTAAAGGATTGATCGCATTGTATGCAGGGTGTTCTGTCTCAGGGTGATGTCTGTCCTGAGGTCCTGTCGTTGAAGGGAACAAGGAATCTGACACAATTAAATCTGACTTAGAGAATGGTTCTCTAAATGAGCCCTAAGTTGGTCTTCTTCATGCAGTCTCCCCATGTACAGCGTGGCTCTTTTGTGCGTTTTGTGGCTTTTGTCAATGAACTGTGCTGGTCTTGGAGACCAGAGTTTTTGCTGGCATAGCAGAGATGAAGTATTCTCAGTGAATGTCACCAGTGTTTTTCATCATGTAATTATCACAAGAAATTTTCCGGCAAAGCTGAGTCTTTCATTTACCTTCCTATGGAGTCCGTCCACTGACTCTTGCTTTGAGATGCCGATTTGCTTCCTGTTGTATTATTTTTAAGGATGAGTTGTATGCTTTTCTGTTGGCTGCCTTGGACTTATAGGGAAATACAGCTTGCTATTTTGGGGCTGGGTTTGGCTTTTTCTTTAGAGGAAAAAAAAAAATCAGAACAAAACTCAAATACAAAACCAAAATCAAACCAGGTATTCTGAAGAGGTGTTAGTGGTGAATTTCTGAGGACGTGGAGAAGCTCTGAAGTGTGTAATGGAGTGGAGAATGAGCATCTTTTGCAGAAAAAGCATTTTATGATCAGGTGACTCACAGTAGTTTCACTTTCAGATCAGGAGAGAATAAAGGATATGAATTTGACATGATTCGACATCAAAATATTCAGTGAGCCACGTCCTCATGTAACGTATTGTGGCTTGATTGCTTTCACTGAAATGATGCCAGTACGTACCAGCAGAAAGATCTGTTCCTGTGAAGTCTTCCTCACTCTCATGGATGTTTTTTGGTATATAGTGAGTCACAGTGATTGAACTTTCTACAAAGGAAGGACCTCTGAAATAACCCCTGAGGGAAAGAGGTGAAGGAGCCTGGCAATGTAACCACCAAACAGTCCAAATTTCTGAACAGGAAGTGGATAGATCTTGTCTCAGTGTTAGAACAGTTTCACGTGTCCTGCTGTGGCTTCCATGATTAGTCTCAAGTTTAGACGTGTGATGCAGATGTACCAGGATGGACACTTTGTGCCTGGTGGATACAGAATAGTAGTTAGGAGGAAAATGTGCCCAAGTTGCCAAAGCAGATACTTGCTGTGAGGAAGTGTCTGTCACCTTCACCTAGAAGTACTTGCTCTGTGTATGCAGTGGAGTAACTTCAGAAATGCAGGTGAGTGCTCTTTGGGCTTTTTTCCGTGGATACTTGGTATGACCCCTGCTGATTTAACTCTTGAGTTACCTTCTGATTTCTGGTTTTGCTTTTATCCTAAAGTTCAAAAGACTTAAGTGTTAGGACTTTTCTAACTCACCATAGATCCAAGGGCGGCTGGAATGAAAGGAAGCATACAGAATATTTGTCTACATTTATTCATCCTGTTTTAGCTATTAAACTTCTTCCCTGTAGTGAATCTACCTTTCTTGCATGTTTTGATAAGCTCAGGAAATTCTGAAGGTACTTATTGAGTGGGATGGATCAGTTAGGCAAGGAAGATCTTGTACTCAGCTTTTGTTTTGGAAGGTAACAGGAGAAGCTGTAGGAGTGGACAGGGCAGGATCGTGCGTTAAGAGCTTTCCCTGTCTGTGCTCTGTCTCAGTGTATTCTCTGTCTTCAGCAAAAATGTGCATAGGTGCAAAGCATAAGCAATGTGTGGGAATAGCAGCCACAAATGTAACAGTGTGAAGTTTTAGTCTTAAACTTTGCTTACTATCAGAGAACAGCTGCTGTATTGTTACAACATTTGTGTGCTTTAATGACATCAGTGCTAGATAAGATGGTGCCATTAAAGGAGTATGATAACTTATTAGCTTTGGGATATTTGATGTTCCTACAGAAGCCATTAACAAAAAATACTTCTGAATTTTATCTCCATAAGGGCCTGTGGTTATAGGATCATTAACTCCTATGATGTGTCATATGCCATTTCTACTTCAAGTAATAAATTAATTTCAGATCCTGGAATAATTCAGCCCTGAGAGGCCCTCAGGGGGTAGGACAGGCTTCTGCTTAAAGTAGGACCAACACTACATGAGTGGTGGTGTTTTGGTTTCCAGCTGTGATTGTAGCTAACATTCTTTACCAAACAAATTTCACCTGCTGATATGCCCCAAATTATTTCAGAACCACAGGGTGCTCTTCAAGATACTATCCATTAAAACGTGGAAATAAGTGGTTTTAGCGATGATGGATTTTCACAGTGTTAGCATTGCTAATCATTATTGTTCTGTATATGAAGTTATGCATTTGGCTCAGTGTATGGATCTCACTTCACTGGCTGCCACGTTACCTCTGGAAGAGGAGTTTCTGACAAGAGAATGGACAAGGTGGGGCGTGGTGCAAAGATGAACATAGAGAGGAAATGACTTCCCAATGATGCTGAATGAGGGACCAAAGAGAAAAGGAGAGGTACTTCAATCTGGCAGGGTCATCTCTGACCATCTTTTCCTACATAGCTCCCCCTCCACCAATTTCTACACATTCTAAGTTAATAATGATGCCTCATTGCCCTGTCTCTTCTAAAATAACGTCAAACTGGATCTGTGCTTTCACAACAAAACATGTTTGGGCAATGTTTCAGAGCTCAGCTTGTAATTATGCTCTGAAGAAGACACCCATAGATTCATAGTTAACAGCATAAGGAAGGATCCCAGGTTTCTACCTTGTGTGATTGCTGTTTTTGGAGAGAGCCCTTGACCTCCTTTCTCAGAGGAAGTTACCTGCCTGAAAATTTTGAAAATGTGAGTCTTTTGTAACCAGTGAGCAAGAGAGAGGTGGGAAGAGGAAGGACAATGCCAGGCAACGTCTGAAGAGGTACAAGTATGTAGGCATTTGACAGTGTGTAAGAGAAGAGAGCTGTACAGGGCAAAAACCCGAACTGAGTGAATATCCAGCAATCAAATCCCCAGCTGCTCTTTGGGGATTTCATTGATACGTTAAATAATTCTGCAAAATGTCTTACTATGTGTGTATAAATTGTGTGTACTTATACTTATGTGTACTTACTTATACTTATGTAAATATATATGTATGCATAATGAAATCCAGAGTAGTTTGATTTCTGGAGAAGCTACTGCAACAGCATAATTTTCTATGATTATAGAAAATACCAGGGTGAGGGAAAGAGGTGTCAGCACCTTCTCTTGTGCAAGAAGCTATCTGGTGATAAACAGCTGCTGAAGTGGGTCCATTATATGTAATCCAACTATGTTGCTGCAATAAATCTTGTATAATGAACAGTTATAGCAAATTCCATTATTAAAAAATCTTGTCTTCTCCAGGTTTGTGGCATGCTAGAGATCCTGGAAAGATTGACTGCTGAACTTGTGTCATGCTGGGAAGGACCATCGCATCCATTCTACCAGGGCTGAGCTCAGTTGTCATTCTCTGTCTGCACTGACACTGTATTTTTTACTCTTCAACATGTGGAATACGTGTCTGCAGAGTTAAACCAGGACAATCTCCTGAAAATGGAATTCCACAGAAGGCACATGCTGTAATTTCTTGAATAAGCCAACAACATCCTCTAAATTTTATTTTTTTATTTTTTTTGCGGATTTTTATTACTCAACTGAAAGAGCAAGCAGTGTTGCTAGATTGCTCTGAAAGCTAGAGATGGCTCTGCCTTCTCCAAAATCTGTGGCAGGAGATCTAACACAAAGAGGAGAACTCATGCTCCATAATGAAAGCTGTTTCCATTTCCTCTCTACAAACGTCATCGCAGTAGGTAAGTGAAAGTTTGCCTCACCTAATGGTTTGGTATTTGAAAATGTTTGCTTTACTCCCAATTTCTTGTATGGCATTGAGATTTCACATTGAAATGCTAAGTTTCTGTAATTTGTTTGAGGGAATTGTGCTTGTAAATTAGGGGGCTGAATTTCAAATTTTGTTGTATAGTTTGCATGATGAAAACTTAACTGAAGTGTAGAAAAACGAGATGCCAGTGCTCTGGCCCGTGTTTGACCTGTTCCTGTAATGTCCAGGAGTTGGTGGTGTGCACAAGGCTAGAAGTACCTGCTGCACTGCAAGCTATGTTATGAAACCTTTCACTGCATGATAACAAACAGATTGACTGTTATCAGCATTCTCCAAGATATGCTAGCAGGCTTGTATCTTCATGTAAATGGTGACATTTGTACTTGAATAGATGATCAGAGTGTTTTTGAGATGTCAGTTTTCCCACCTATTCAAGTGCTTCCATTCCAGAGTTAACGTAAAATATAAATAATGCCTCCACCTACTGTGCTGATTAGAATCTTGAGGCATTGTCTTCTGTGGCTGCAAATAATAATAATGTAGCAATAAGCTGGGATGTGGCAAAATTCACGGGTAGATTTGAAGGAGAGTTGTCCTCTTATTTACCAGATCTTCAAAGAATGTGGGCTTGTGTCAGTAACAAAGTGCCTCTGAATCACTGTCAGACTTGTGACTTCAGTGGGATGGGCATTTTATAGAAATGTGCATGTGATTCCTTTGGAACTTCAGCTGATCCCTTATGGTAGGGATTGTTTGAAATGCTGGTTTGCTGAATATATGAAGGTTAATGTTTTCAAAGATCAGTAATCATCTTTAGATGTATGTGCTCATCTGCTTTTGAAAAGACAGATGATGGGGCTTTACCAGAGTATTGTGATGTTGGTGCCTTTACAGACTGTAGAGGAAAGGAACTTACAAGAGCTTGAGAACATAGCTTGTGCAGCTTTGCTAGAGCAAATACATGTATCTGAGTGCTGTGTTTCTTTTAAAGGGCAGTAAGATATGCTGAAGCTTTTTTTTTTTTTTTTTGGGGGGGGGGGAGGGAATATTTCTCTTATCAAAGTAATTTTTCTTGAAGATGATGGCAGCACTGTAACTGCGTTTAGAGCACATCAGTATTTTTTTCTGTGTGTGACACCAGTAGAGTTGATTATCAGCGATTTTTTTGGCTTTCAACCAGACTCCTTTATTCAGCAGCACCAGGTGCTCCTAAATATTTTACTCTTTAATTTTTAACAGATGAATTCCAAGGGGATCTCTGAATTCTGGGAAAACAAGGAGGAATTGTAGAATGTAGTTATGAAGGCTGTCGGAAGAGCAAGGAGAACCCAAGCTCTTTCTCACAGCAAAACATTTTGGGCTAGATATTTTTAAAAAGTGAATTAGCATCATAGGACTAGACTGTCAGAATTGATTGCAGCTTTTGTTCCTTGATTCAAGTGCTTCTGGAAAATCCTTCTTGAAGTTGATTTGGGGAGGAGGGATTTATACTGCCTCAGGTTGTGGCTCTGTGCCATGAATCTGTCCGAACCAATCTAAGATGCAGAGCTCAAAGAACAACTATTGTTGGCTGTTGGTCTTTTTTGAGTGTTGACAGTTTGCTCAGAGGAGAATGAGTTCTTATCTTAGGAAGCTCCGGAGATTACAGATGTGATTCTGCATATCAGGTGTTGATTGGAGATTGAGTAGGAGGAAGGGAATTGTGTAACTGATGTCTGTGGCAGATGAATTTGTGCTACAGGATGGATCTGAAGAGGGAGAAAGAGGGCTTGGTTGCATTGAAAACAAGACAGTTGATTTAGCCCAAGACACTAATTAGAAGTTAATGTATTCAACACAGGACTTACTTTCTTGAAATATTTCCTTCTACTGCCAACAGTCATGAAGCAGACAACACTTTTTTTAGCTGGGTGCTCACAGGAACTATTTTCATAATTCTGGCCAAATTTCTAGCAATTGCAAGATTGATTTCTGCTGGCTTCCTGTTCAAAGTGATATCTATAGCTTTTGCTAGCATTAATGAAGTTGAATATATTTGTATTGCTGCTGTATTAAAAAGAAATTTAGTGCCTCTTGAACAAGAGCTGTCCTTTATATAATTCTGTACGTAAAGCTCTGTCAGAGTGTGTATGTAGGACAAAGTGCACAGAGATGGCAGAAATAGCTGGAGGGAGAGAAAGTCTTTATTGTGCCTGTGCAGCCCTTCCAGCATTCCTGTGCAAGTGGGTCTGAACCCAAACAAAAGCTGGGCTCCTGCTCAGGAATCCCATAGCAGACTTGTTCAGAACACCCACTTCAGTTTGTTCTTCTCTCTCCAATTAACCCTTAGTATGACTCAGTTTAAATGCCATATATTGCAGTGACAACTTTTATCTTATTTCACCTTAGTGTAACGATAAATTCTAAAGAAACAGTGCAGAAGTGATATTACTACTTTTCAGCTGTTAGTTGTCTTGATTGAGTAGCTTGTGCTTTCAAAAATGACATTTCAGCTTTATCAAGCTTATGCTTTCAAATGTTGGCACCTTCAGCTTTCTAATTTGAGTGAGAGTATCCCCAAGAAAATTTGGGAAGCACAGGGCTGGAGAGTTACATCCCTACTTGGTGTGAATCTATGCAGTTAAGTAAAGGCTCCTCATTTGACAACATGATCCCATAGCATCACAGCTACCTGCAGTCTACTTCTGAACAATACTTATCTCAGGTGGCCTGAAACTCTTGACATTCATCTGTGGTTTTCTGACTTTTCTTATCGGTTGATACAAGAAGTTTTCAAAACTTGTTACTTCTTTTAGAATCAGAATTCTCCTTCCCTGTGTAGGTGTGTATAGATGAGGAATAAGATTGCTGTGTAAAAAGTAAATCTGAGTGGAATGCATTTAACTTGCATGTAATTTTGCTTTATAATAGCGATTCAAGATTGTAGTGGCATTGGGAAATTCCAAAATCAAGGAGATACATGGAAAATTCAGTAATCCCCTATTTTTAAAATATGTTCTTGCATGTCTAGACTCAATTTTTCCTTCTAAACTGATGAAAGAGTGCTGTGCACAGACACGCAAAATCCTGTTTGCTCAGTACACAGTACATCAGATTAGCCTGGAGATGTACTTAAGATGGCCTTCAACGTGTGGCTCTAACATGCAGCTCTAACGTGCTTCTGCCCAGAAACCTCTAGCATATCAATTTAGTTGAGCAGACAAAAGTGAGATTACATTAATTGGCGTCAACTGCTTGAGAGTAGCTCTGATATAAAGATATATTGCTGTGATGTTGCCCATCAGTTGAAAATGAAATAGGAACTGATGCTTTCGTTCTACTAGTTTTGCTTGTGTTAGTGACCACAAAATTTTTTCCTTTTCTGTTGATGCAGTTTGAATATAACATCTGGAAAGACATGCTGTTAATTTCAAGTGATCCAATTTAAATGTGGCAGTCTCCTCCTTGATTTGGTACAGCTGTGGATACTAGAAAATTCTAACACCAAGAATTAGTGTTTTCTCAAATAATGATTTTCAATACTCTTTTTTCCTTCTTGAATGGAGACTGTAGTGTAATGCTTACTGCAAGCTGCCATTTACTCTGCTTTGTGCTGCAGAGGCATAAATGAACAAGTGAGGCTTGCAGAATTCACTATTGTCTCCTTTGGTGCAGTGTCAGCTGACTGATTTGAAGTGATCATGAGTCTATTGACAGTTGGAACAAAGACACGAGTGAGGATATCTAAGGGTAGTTCTGATTCTGTCACTAACTTATTGTTTGACTGTTTTTGGCAACTTCACTTCCTCCTCTGTCATGCAACTTATTTTGATTGTAAATGGGATCTGCTGCTCCTGCACAACGAAACAGGCGGGTTGCTTTCTGCAGTTATCCTGTGCGAGCTGAATCCTTGCTCATCATCCTGGAAGTGCTCTGAGGTCTCGTACTGACGGCACTAACTTCTGTTCCTCAGGCATTTGGCGTTTCAGAAGGTCATATTTGACTGTCCTTTAACGCTAGAGGGCAGCGGTGGTCTTCCTTTTATCCATCCATCCACTACTGCACCTGATGCAGGACAGTTTTGCTAATCACGCATGACAGAAGGTACCAGGAAGACTTTTGGCTCAGCATGAAGTCTTTGCATTTCATTTCGATTACTAAATATTGTTGCTTCATCTTTCAGCAGGTGCATTTCATATATTCCTTTCTGTTATCTTTGAGAAATCAATATTTATTTCCATAAGAATATTAGCTTCGATCAAATGAGCTTTTTAAGCCTTAGAATCCTAAACAGTTATTGATTGAATCATTGGTGAATCTATCAAGCTTTCTCGATTAATTTCTTTCCTGTTCTTCTTTGACTGGAGTTTTTGCTTGTCTGCTTTACTAGAGTATTGCAGTGTAGTTCTCAGAATCTGTGCCAAGATGGAGAAAGGTGGTTCGTCTCCTATCTTCTGTTTAGACACAGACATTCCCACTGAAATTTGTTGGCAGCAGGAGTCTAAATACTGTTGAATTTGACACCTGCAATGGAGCTTGCTTCAGTTTGCTGTCTCCAGTTCAGACATCCTTTGACCTGGTAACAGCCTTACTTTGTGAGCTTTGTGCAGGTAAGTGAAACCAGAAGAAATAGCAACAGGAGCCATAAAGGTACATAAAGCAGAGGTCTGGTTTCTTGCTTGCTCTCCGTTGTCAGTAGGAATATTGTGGCTTGGCCTTGCCTTTCTGTGCTGGGCATTGCTGAAATCATTCAGCTGTAGTAAAAGGGGGAGAGCTACTTTTGCACTAAATGCCTCTTTACCCTAGGCTTAGAATATGAACCTGAACAATTTGCTAGCAGAGTACAATGTTGTCTAATCCAAGCTAGTACTGAAATGTTAATAGATATCACTTGTTGAAGAAGTGGAATTGTTTGTTGAGGCAAAGCCATGAGCATGTTAAATGTTTATGTAAATGTTAGCGCTCAGAAAGGGCTTTATGGTTGAACGTGGA